CAGCAAAAGAAGCCAGGGCGGAGGGAGGGTGGGGGGGCCGGGCTGGGGAGGCGAGAGCCTGAGCTTATTCCACGCCCCAGGGCAAGTTCCCCTGGAGGGCGTCAGACCTCAGCCGTGAACTGACTTTCATACTGAAGAGCAGGGAGGGGCCAGTGAGGACAAGCGCTACCCGGAAAGGCTTTGTGGGAGCCAGTGGAACCTTCTACCCCAGAATTACAGGAAAGTCACTGTTAGGTCGGAGAGAGCCCAGGATCGGATACATGCAGACATGACAAGATAATGGACTTCCCCTGGAATTTCTCACAGATCAAGGTGCCAGACACAGATACCAGCTTCTTCTCCCTGAATTCACATACCCCCACACAGATAAGAACTTCATCCTGAATATTCCGCCCATTCCCTGCAGCAGAGAATTCCTCAGCTCATGTCCCCGCCCCTCACCCAACCGCAGTATAAAAAAAGCGCCCCCCTCCCTGTTGGCGTGAATCCACGTGCCCTGTCCTGGGGGTACGTGGGTCTCCCGGGGACGCAGAATAAACCTTTTCCTTTCCTTTCTTTTCTGATTCACTGGACTCTATTTCTTGCGCCACCTCCTGAGCCACCTAACCTAACATTTGGTGCCTTGAAACCCGGGTGGCGCGAGCACTCCCTTTGGCCGTCCCTCCACGGCTCTGGGTGCCCGCCTCTCCCTCCTCGTGGCTCTGCAGGACCTCATCTCTTCAGCTCAGCAACTTTTCCCAGTTTGGCAGCATCAGCGGTGAGTCCCGCCCCACCCCGTGCCGGTCCCAGGTGGCCACCCGCCCGCCGGCATCTCTGTCCGTAAAACGTGGCCACGTCAGAGATTGCCTCTCCGGACCCTTCCAGGAAGGCTCCTCCGGACCTGGGGGGGTAGCAGGGACGCCTCTACCCCGCCCACGGTCCCTCCGTCCCTCCGTAGCGTGGGTTAAACCGCTGGGACGCCAGCCTTTAGCCCCGCTACAGGCCACGGGTATTGCGCATGGGGAATCCAAATTCCAAACCTGACCTGAGCACACCTCTAGTTTCGGCGACACCATCCAGGACCGGATGACCCATCATTCCTCACAGGCTCTTACCTGGCAAGGGACCCTCCAATTCTGCTCAGGTTTTTCATATTTTCAGGTGAAACGGACACGGAATGATGAGGGAGTCATCAATTCTACTGTCTGGATGGGAAATCCTCTAGTGTCGCTCTCTATTTACGAACCCTGGGCCTACTCCTATGCCCACCCTCATCAACACAACTTTCCATCTACTCTCTGACATCAGTCCCTCCTCCTCTACATCCTGCTGGATTTCTGTCACTGGCTCGAACCCTCATCATAGCCACTCAATTCCAACCTATTGAACCATCTAACTAAACTCTCTCTAGAAATTCGCAGCTCCTGGCCGGACCTCCTGCCCATGGCCCTGACCAAACTCCAGCTACACCAAGGAGCCCCACTTTCTTGAGCCCTTTTGACTCTTCTTGCTCAACCACCGTCTTCTTACTGATCCCCCTCCCCTGGGTACGTATCTCCCATATCTGTCTTTAACCAGGCAATTGCTCCGAGAACACGAGAACAGGTTTCTGCCCAAGCCAGAGCCGACCGACCAGGACTCCCAAGTCCAGCCCTTCACACTGGTGACTCGGTCCTCCTTAAGAACCTACAACCACAAGCCTTGGAGCCTAGGTGGACGGGACTTCACACTGTAATCCTCACAGCCCCCACCGCGGCCAAGCTGCTTGGCGACCCCAGCTTGACGACCTGTCCTGGCACCGCCTCTCCAGACTCAAGAGGACCCCGGAGCAGCATGACTTCTATAAATGTGAGGTGTTGGGCCCCACTAAGGTCTGCCTTAACCGCCCTCCCCTCCTCCTCCTCCTCCTGGCCCTGAGCAACCTACACCCACCCCCACCCGCTTATGTGTGGAGGTTCAAGGTCCATGAAACCTACTACCAGAACAGCAAACAAGTCACCCGGCAGCGGAACCCAGACAGGTGTAATCAAGATGTCAACACCTATGGGGTTGCCACGGAAGAGACTATCATACCACACCGCAGCCAGTCTCACCAAGGCCAGCCCAGGTACCTTCTTTTGGTGCAACGGCACCTTAAGGAACTGCATGAACTCCTCTGACCCCGGGCCTTGCTTCGTGGTCACAGTAGTTCCCCAGCTAACCTTGTATGGAGAGTCGGAGCTCACTGGTTGCTCCCTCCATCCCATCCCTGGACCCACCGGGCTGCCTTCCTCCCTGTCATTTTAGGGGTGAGTATCGCTGCCTCAGTAGGCCTCACTGGGGGGCCCTCGGGAACTGTCTGGTCACTGCTCAGGACTTTAATGACAAGCTCCAGTTAGCCCTGGAGTCTACTACCGCCTCTTTTTAGCCTCCCTACAGTGACAAGTGACATCAGTAGCCCAAGTAGCCCTGCAGAACCAGCGCGCCTCAGACCTTCTGACTGCAGAAAAAGGAGGAACCTGCATATTCCTTCAGGAAGAATGCTGTTATTACATCAATGAGTCCGGAGTAGCAAAACGTAAACGTACAGACCCTGACTAAGCTGACTGAAGAACTACATGCAGGACACTTCCAGGACAACTCTCCTTCCGGCTGCTTCCAAAGCCCCTTAGCCACCTGGGTCCTACCCATGATAGGGCCCCTGATTCTCATCTGTGTTCTTTTTTCTCCTAGCCCCCTGCCTCCTCAAGTTCATCCACTCCCGGATAGAGGAGATGTCACGAGTGACTGTGAATCAGCTCCTGCTCCATCCCTACACTCGGCTCCCCTCCGACCTGCCTCTGCCAAACCCTGGCCTTTAACCGCCCCCCTTCGCCACCCGTGGTCAGCTGGAAGCAGCCCCCTTTGCCACCCGTGGTCAGCTGGAAGCAGCCAGAACGAGTCGCCGTCCCTTATCACCAAAAGGCCGGGATGTTAGGTCGGAGAGAGCCCAGGATCGGATACATGCAGACATGACAAGATAATGGACTTCCCCTGGAATTTCTCACAGATCAAGGTGCCAGACACAGATACCAGCTTCTTCTCCCTGAATTCACATACCCCCACACAGATAAGAACTTCATCCTGAATATTCCGCCCATTCCCTGCAGCAGAGAATTCCTCAGCTCATGTCCCCGCCCCTCACCCAACCGCAGTATAAAAAAAGCGCCCCCCTCCCTGTTGGCGTGAATCCACGTGCCCTGTCCTTGGGGTACGTGGGTCTCCCGGGGACGCAGAATAAACCTTTTCCTTTCCTTTCTTTTCTGATTCACTGGACTCTATTTCTTGCGCCACCTCCTGAGCCACCTAACCTAACAGTCACAACCGATTAGCAGTGGAAGATTTACCCCCTTTTTTAAAAAGAATTTTAATTTTTTTTTTCAGTATCATCTTTTTTTTAAAATATTTGATTGATTTTTTACAGAGAAGAAGGGAGAGATAGAGAGTTAGAAACATCGATGAGAGAGAAACATCGATCAGCTGCCTCCTGCACACCTCCCACTGGGGATGTGGCTGCAACCAAGGTACATGCCCTTGACTGGAATCGAACCTGGAACCTTTCAGTCCGCAGGCCGACGCTCTATCCACTGAGCAAACCGGTTAGGGCTTAAATATATTTTGATTGATTTCAGAGAGGAAGGGAGAGGGAGAGATAGTGTTAAGGTAAAAAACCATGAAACTTGTAAAGAATTGTTGTGAGTTTATTTGAGCCAAACTGTCGATATGTGCCGGGAAGCGGAACCTCCACGAATTGGAATTGAGATAATGCTCCGGAGATTGGGGAGTTCATACCTTGTTTTTATAAATTTACCATCAAAAGGAAAATACGTGAGTGGGTTACATGAAATCCACTGGTGATAGACTAGGGAGGCAGGAGAAAGCAAAGCAGGGAAACTCCTGGGATTGGCGGTGTCTTAAGCGTGAAGCGTATCTTTATCTCCCTGTGACCTGGCGATTCCACCCCTGTGCCTTTTGTCCACAATAGAAACATCAATGATGAGAAAGAATCAAGGATTGGCTGCCTCCTGCACGCCTCACCCTGGGAATCAAGTCCGCAACCTGGGCACGTGTCCTGACTGGGAATGGAACCGTGACCTCCTGGTTCATAGGTCGACGCCCAACCACTGAGCCACGCGGGCCAGGCAGATGCACCCCTTTCAAACAGTTCCTCCAGGACGAAGCAATAAGCCTGCTCACGCCCACCGCATGGCTGAATGAGAAGGCAGGTTCGCCCTGACCAGTTTGGCTCAGTGGATAGAGCGTCAGCCTGCGGACTGAAGGGTCCCGGGTTCGATTCCAGTCAAGGGCATGTACCTTGGTTGCGGGCACATCCCCAGTAGGGGGTGTGCAGGAGGCAGCTGATCGATGTTTCTCTCTCATGGAAGTTTCTAACTCTCTATCCCTCTCCCTTCCTCTCTGTAAAAAATCAGTAAAATATATTTAAAAAAAGAAAAGAAAGAAAAAGGTTAGCGGGATGCGGAGGACGTCCTGCCGCCAGCGAGAATGCGAGGGCGCAGCTGCTTTGGAAAATAGCTTGGCGGTGTCTTAAGCGTGAAGCGTATCTTTATCTCCCTGTGACCTGGCGATTCCACCCCGGACATCTACCAGGAGGAATGAAAACCTTCCCCACATAAACTCCTGGAGCCGATGCTCGTCGCAGCCGCACTCGCTGTTGGGACGCACTGCCCTGGCCTCTCCTGCTCGGACATGTTTTCGGAAGCGCACATGGACAAGCTTTCCCAGGGCTTGGGGCAGACGGCAAGATAAGAACTCGTCCCCCCTCGCCTCTGCTTGACCCGCTGGCGCACCCACATCCTGACCCTACACGGCACACTCCCGCCCCGTGTAGTGAACCTGGCCACCCCTCGGCTCACACCCACACGCTGGTCTCAGCCGCTGAGAGGATGGAACACGATTTCCTAAGCTCTCAGCACGGCTCTTGGCCTGGCTCCTGTCCGCGCGGACCTGACACCCACAGTGGCCGATATGTGGAAACCACTCACATGTCGTCAGTGGGGATGGGTGCACGGCACGCGGTGTGTCTACCGAGATGCTGACACGGGACGTGCGTGCGCCTCAGAACCACGATGCTGAGTGAGAGAAGGGACAGCAGAGAAATCCCACATATCCTGCAGGGTCCCGTCCGTATGGAATGGCCAACAGCCAAACCTGCAGAAACAGAAGGTAGGCTGGTGGTTGCCAGGGGCTGAGAGGGGGGTGGGGAGTCATTGCAAACGGCCCGTGGGGACCTTTCAGAGGATGGAAACGTTCTAAAAGCAGACTGGCGATGGTTGTGCAACTCTGTCCATTTGCTGAAGAGTCACTGAATCACACACGTAAATTGTGCCCCCAGCACTGCACGTTGCTTCCTTAATCTGAGCCTTAGTCTAGAGCAGGGGTGGGCAAACTTTTTGACTTGAGGGCCACAATGGGTTCTTAAACTGGACCGGAGGGCTGGAACAAAAGCATGGATGGAGTGTTTGTGTGAACTAATATAAATTCAAAGTAAACATCATTACATGAAAGGGTACGGTCTTTTTTTTTTTTTTTAGTTTTATTCATTTCAAACGGGCTGGATCGGCCCGCGGGCTGTAGTTTGCCCACCGCTGGTCTAGAGACACAACCCTGGGGGCGGCCACCCAGCTGGGCCAGCTCCCCCAGGCCTCTCCGGGCCCCTCCGGGCCACCTGGGGTGGGGGTGGGGCCTGTCCCCGTCACAGCATGTCTTACCTCCCTCGGGGCTGTTCCTTCGCTTCTCTGTCCTCTCTACACTGGGTCCAGGAAGCGAGGACTTGCCTGTCTTGTTCCTCCTGGTGCCAGCTGCTCAAACAGCGGGCGCTCCTCCCGTTCGGGGAGGTTTCACGGCGAAGCAGGGGATCCCGCCTGTGGGGAGAGGGTCCCGCGGGGCACACCTGCAGGACAAGGAGTGTGCCTGTAAGTCAGCGTTTCCAGATTTCCTTTAAATCTTACTGTGAACGCTCCGGTTTCGTTTTAACTAGAACAAGATTCCGGAAGGGAAGCAAGCCCGGGACTCTCTCACCATTTGGTCATCCCACCGGAGCAGCATGATGCCGCCACCGTGTGCCAACAGGATCGCGCACAGCTCTAGGTTAGGCAACTCTGCCACGTTGACTTCATTCTGCTCACGGGCTCGAACGCTTTCACAGCCCGCCCCCTGCCGGCGGCCGAGAATTGCTCTTGGCTCGGACAGCTCCCTCTTCAGGTGGGCGAAGCCACACCCCACCCCCCCACATATCCCCGGCCCCACCCGAGTTCACCCGCACCCCTTCACTGCTCTGCTTCCCTCCAGCCTCTGCCCGCCTCGTTCATCCTCTGAACTACCCCCATCATGTCTCTAAGAACACCAGTCTTCCCACTCTCCTCCTCCAAAGCACTCGATGGCTCCCTAGTGCCTGTGGAACTGGCCACATTCTTTAGCCTGGCATCTGAGACCCTCATAATCTGGCCCGGAACCATCTTTCTGAAATGACCCCCGCCGTTCCCTGCCCCCCATGCAGTTTCCACTCGTTCTTTAAGACACAACTCGAGGAGGCGTCCCCGATCACCCCGCCAGCCCCGATGACGGCGAGCCCTGCGCTGTCCATGCGCCCCCGGCACTGAGCCTATGCTGCCTCTTTCGTTGCTGCTGTGTCTGGTCCTTACAAGGAACCGTTTCGAATCTCCTTGAGGACGGGCGCCAGGCCTTAAAGCAAACGTTACTGCGCCCGGCCGGCGTGGCTCAGGGTTGAGTGTGGACCTGTGAGCCAGGGGGTCTCGGTTTGACTCCGTCAGGGCACATGCCGGGGTGTGGGCTCGATCCCCAGCGTGAGCCTGCAGGAGGCCGCTGATAGATGATTCTCTCTCATCATCGATGTTTCTCTCCCTCTCCCTTCCGCTCTGAATTTAAAAACATATATATTAAAATAAAAGAAATTATTGCAAAAATTGTAATCCTGGTTTGGCACTTCTGCAGTTATCTTTCCCTCCTCACAGCGGCCGTGTGGTGTGGGGTAGGCAGCCCACAGGTTATAATCCCCACCTGGCAGAGGTGAAGCCAGACGCAGAGGCCAAGTACGTAGCTCGCAGTCGCACAGCACGCAGCAGGGCCGGGAGCGGGCGGGCTGCGGACGCCGGAGTCTGTCCTTGTTCCTTCGCACCCTGCGGCCACCCTGTGCACTTCCCATTTCCCAGGCCTCAGCTATGGCGAGTCACAGCCACTATTTGTCAATTGTATAATCTCTCATTTCAATCTCTGGACAAAGTGCGGTTGCCATAGCGACCTGGTGTTTCCCTGCAGATACAGCCTCCTCTGCCCGTTCCATAGGCAGCCACACCCTGCGTTGGACAGACCGGGCGGGAAGTCCCACGCACCAGGTCACCAGATCCCCGTGCAGCTTCTGCCCTTTAATCCCTGCGTGACCTTGGGGAGCCCCCCCCCGACCCCCCAAGGACTGGGCAGCAGGCCAGGGCTCTCACATTAGGTGCTGGGAGCTGTTTTTTAAATTAGTGAGGCCCTAAGGCGCTATGGGAAATGTAATTTGCCAAGTTTAATAACGACACCATTGCCCCCAGCCTTCCTAGGCCTGCTGGTTCTCCCCGACCTGGCCGTAAGAAAGGCGGGTGTCCCTGCTGCCCGATGCCCAGGCCCAGCTTCCGCGCACCCCCCCCCCCCACCACCACCACCACCGTGGGCATGCCTGCAGCACCGACTGAAGAGGAAAACGTGTTTACCTGTGATCCACTATTAGGCAGGGCTTCTGGCCCCGGCCGGTGTGGCTCAATGGATAGAGCGTCAGCCCTCAGACCTGGTTGGGTTGGCTCAGTGGATACAGCGTCAGCCCTCGGATAAAGGGTCTGGGTTCGATTCTGATCAAGGGCATGTACCTCAGTTGCAGGTCCCCTGGCCCTGGTCAGGGTGCATGCAGGAAGCAACCAGCCGATGTGTCTCTCACATCCATGTTTCCCTCTGTCTCTCCCCCTCCCTTCTACTCTCTCTAAAAAGCAATGGAAAAATAGCCTTGGGTGAGGATTAACAAATAAACAAACAGACAAACAGGGCCTCTGCTGACCTTGGGTCATGCTCACTCCGCCAGCTCAGAACCAGTGAAATTTCCCAGGTTCCATCCCTCAAGGTTCTCATAGCCTCGGGCTCTCCCCGCAGCGATCACCAGGAGCTCCGAGGGTGACCAGGTGGGTGGATCTCTCGGTGGGAGGGGGAGAGCGCCCCCTGGGAGCCCTGGGTGGCACTCCCAGAGGGTGCTAGAGGGCCTTGTGATGGGGTGCTGGCGGTGCTGGGGGTGTGGGGTGAGGAGGTGGCCTCCTCTGGCTTGGATGCTCTCAGGAAGGGAGTGCCTCCCTGGCCAGGTGTCTGCGTAGCCCTGGCCTGCAGGAAGGGAGCCTGGGCAGGCCCTCTCTAGGGTCTGGGTAGTGGGGTCATTTGGGGGCCTGGACGATGCTCATGCTTTGTCCGTGTCCACAGGAGGACGCCCCGCTGAGGGCAGGCCGGAGGGCAGAGTCTACCACTCCGCCTCTGCAGCTGGCGCAGCCCCTGGCGCCTCTGCGGACCCTTTGAAGATGCCTTTTCCTCATCCCTCCCCACCTGGCGGCTGTCTGTGGGCACCCCGGTCGGCGGGGCCTCAGGCTCAGAGACCCAAGGTGAAGGGGTGGCCAGTCCCCTGCTCGGTGGGTGGGTGGGCGGGCGCACACCTGGGCTCCGGCCAGTGCACTGTTCCACCCGGAACGGGACTCAGACTCCTCAGCCACAGCAGGAGAGACCCCAGCAGGAGACAGCCGCCAGCCTCCTCCCCCAGGAAGCCCTCCGGCAGCCGCGCCGGGCCCTGACCTTGACCTGCCAGGTATGCTCTTCAGAAAAGCAGCTCTTAGGGCAGAGGAGGAGGCTGGAGGCCGTGGGGGGTGGGGGAATGAGGGTCCGGGTGACAGGGGAGGCCCAGTTCAGGAGACAGAAACCAAGAAGCCTCAGTTCCCGACTGGAATTAAACGACCAGGGAGAGAAGGGTCCTGAATCGGACCCCAGAGGCACACAAGCTCCCGGGGCACGTTGACTTGACCCGCGGCAGAGGTCACGCCACTGCCATGACGGGTGAGAACTTAAGAATGAAAAGCCTTTCAAAGTGAGAGGCAGCGGGCATTTATTTGAGATCCGTCAGAACAGCTGTTCAGGAAGCGCTGATTCAGGCACAAACCCAAATAGTCCCCCAATCTGGAGGCAAAGGGAAGGGGACAGTGACACCCATAGGAGGAAGGCCTTTCGACGGATGCGGAGAAGCTGACAGAGTGATGCTAATTCTAAACAATTTTTAAAGTTTTCATTCCACCGGGTAGGTGGGGGGGGGGGGGATTTCCAGGCCAGTAGGCATCAGTCTGCTTGCTAGTCAGAGTATCTGCTTTCCTGTTATCTTTGCAAACAGTTCTTTGGGATACAATGTTGCTTTAGGCAGAACCCAAGGTTATTCTGCCTGTTTGTAACATTCCCGAGGTGTGAGGACTAAGACAGCACAGCTCCGACTCTATCCTAGTTGATGTTATTTTGACTGTCCTTTGGGCAAGAGAGTCATTCACAGCCTACATCAGCAATTATATTTATGCACGGCCATCACATTACTGAAAAACACCAAAACGCTGGCTCTCTCAAAGCCTCTGATTTAGTCACTGAGGTGAGAGAATAACTAGAGGCCGGCACACAGCTGGGCCCGGCAGCCCGGTGGGCAGAAGTGGGGGCCCAGCCCTCGCCAGGTAGCTCAGTTGGTTAGAGGGCTGTCCAAATAGGCCAAGGTGGGGGTTTGATCCCTGGTCGGGGCACATACAGGAATCAACCAATGACCCCCAGCCGGTGTTGCTCAGTGGTTGAGTGTCAACCTATGAACCAGAAGGTCGATTCCCGGTCAGGGCACAGGCCTGGGTTGTGGGCTCGATCCTCAGTGTGGGGCGTGCAGGAGGCAGCTGATCAATGGTTCTCTCTCATCATTGATGTTTCTATTTATTCTCCTTCTCCCTTCCTCTCTGAAATTAAAAAAAAAAATCAACCAATTAATATGTGAATAGATGGAATATCAGGTTGATGATTTTCTCTCTAAAAAAGTCAACAAATAAAAAAAAATTTTTTTTTAAAGAGAAGTGGGAGCCTGGGATATGAGAAAGAAGACACAGCCGGGCTGGTGTGGCTCAGTGGTTGAGCCTGGACCTATGAACCAGGAGGTCACAGTTCAATTCCCGGTCAGGGCACACGCCCAGGTTGTGGGGCGTGCAGGAGGCAGCTGATCGATGAGTTTCTCTCATCATTGAAGTTTCTATCTCCCTCTCCTTTCCTCTCTCTGAAATCAATAAAAAATTCTATTTTTAAAAAGGCACAAACGTAACTCTTCTCCAAGACCACCCCACAGACCAGGCTACACGTGGGGCTTTCTCTGAGGCTGCGCAGAGCCGGGCCTGGGGCTGTGGAGGCGAGCGGAGGGCAGGTGAGTCCGCTGCCCCAGTGCGCGGGGCACCGGCTGCAGGTGAGCCCCTGGGCCTCCCGCTTCTCCTCACCCGCCGCTGCTCTCCCAGGGCTGCTGTGCGAGTGTGGAGGCCACAGACACACATCACCGCGTCCTCAGGGCTGGTCCTTCTGAGGGAGACGCCTTCCTGCCTCCCGTCCAGCCCCGGTGCCACCGGCCTGCGGCCTGGCCCCCCGGGCAGCGTCTCCCGCCCGCCTGTCGCACCTGCCTTCTCCGGTGATCGTCCTCCGGTGTCCTTGCCACTTCCGGTCAGTCATTCGATGCCGGGCTCCTGTGCAAACCCCGAGTGTGTGCTCCGCCGCGTTTGCAAAGCCAGTGCCTGCCCTGCGCGCTGGTTAGGAGGCAGCCGCTTCCGAGTCGGGCGCCAGCGCCGCCAGTCCCGGGACCAGAGCGAGAGCCAGGCCACGTCCCCCGGGGCTCCTGTCCTCGAGGCTGCGGCGGATTTCTGTGACCG